AAGACACATCGTCTTTATTGTATAATCTGAAAATTATGCTCATAATTTGATGAGCACTTTCGCAAACTTCAGGTTGCGAACACAATGCAATCATCTAATATTTGTATCAAATCTATTAGATACAAATAATATTTAGATGGTCAACGTGGAAGGTGACGAAGCCCCATATATCACCCTAATTAATTTTCAGAAATATATGGAATTCAATCTTTATTTAACCGGCAACGATCAATAACCAATTTTCAATAAAGAAAACAAATATCAAATACGATTTCATTGGATTCAAGAATCTTCCGATTCTTCATTGAATATCCATTTGAATATTTAATTTTCCATCATTATTGATCCAATGATGGTACAACTGGTCATGCCAAACAATAAATTCAAATTGAACTTCTGGTTCAATATAAGATATAATTTAATTTCGAAGAATATGATTAAACATTATATAATCATATATCATTCAGTAATCAAACTATCAATATCTTCAAGAAGAATATTAATAAAACTTATCTTCCTTTAAAATATTACGATCAGTATTGAATTGTTGAATTTGTATTCTTCAGAAACACAATAAGGTATAATTTTTAGAGACGTGTGCTGTTTTGGGAGCACATTGTATTCATTATCGCCCATTCAAAAGCAATATGCTAATATTCTTTTGTAATATTGAAAATTATATTTCATGCTCTACATGAATAATCAAATATTGTTATAATAAATTTACTCTTTGGGAGTAAAAATATAATTTACGTCAGAACATATTTAATTATACTATTCAGGAACAACTAAAATTTAACAAAAATATTTGTCAATAATAGTGTGTTACTTCAGAAACACCACTAAACTTTTTATTTAGAAATATTAACTCTAAAGTAATATATTATCTAGCACATATTAATATTTGTAGAGCTTTGCTTTTTCAAGAGCATTAATAAATTATCATCATAAGATACTTATATGTATAAAGTTATGCTCTTCAGGATTAATAAATATAATATTCTTCTATGAGTAATATTCATATGAAATATTAATTATAATATTGTACTATTTCAGGAGCAACAACAATTTTACAATAGACAAATATAAGAGCACAAAATTCATAAATTATACTACGAATATGAACGAGAAATTAATCAAACGATAGACAAGAAAAAATCTAAATTCGATGATTGGATATGCACAATTATATGTGATTTGGGCAGAAACTAAAAACAAGATAATTATATGCACATACCAAAACTAAATACAGCGATTGAAAATTAATTGGAGCATTGAACTACGTGGGCTAATCACGAAAATATTGAGACAGTGAAATAATTCATACCCGTAACAATTCAAAATGTCATTTAATCACATTTTTCAAAGATAGTGGCTAGCCAACCAAAGGTAATTATATATACCAGCCATGCCTTAGCAGTTTCGTCCCCAACCAATTCAAAGCATACCTTTCATGTGACTTCAAATTGCAACAGTGCAGAGAAGGGTGCAGATTCGACTACTAATTAATTTTTTTTAAAGAAAAAATAATTAAAAGAAAAGCGTTCGTGCTGATAATGTGTTATAAAAAGAGAGAAAAAGAGAAGAGAATAAGATAAGTCAATAAACTTTTGTGTATATTATGATGAGAATTAGAATCCTATATTTATAGGGAATGAATAGAGATACATATGGTAATAATATCTAGGGCTACAGGGGTACAATTGTCATTCACCAATAACTTACCATTTACAACATATATATATTCCATTCTAAATCTTTTCCTACTGAAATTTTAAATTTTTTTAAAAGCACTATACTCATTCCAATTATATTCCAACATTACTCTTATTGAATGCGGAACTCATGGATTAAGCCTCAAATGGCTCTTTTAGACTTTGAGCAATGCTAAATGTGTGATTTATTTAGATTTTATCTATGAAGGTATGCTTTCGATAAGAGAATCGTAGTTCATAACAGTAATCAAGTTTGGAGCCATCTCACAGATTTCTTAAACACAAGCAATCAGCACCAAGATTTTATCTCAAAGTTTTACATTTGACCTTTCTTCATGACCTATCTCCGATATTTTTTGGCACAAAGATACTTTCATGTATTTCTTGACACTTTAGTTTTTACCTTCTAAAGATCTTGTACTCATAGTCTTAGGTTTTGGCTGATTGTGGAAATTAAGTAAAAAAAATACGAGCATAAGAAAAATATGCATCCATTGAAATTGCCTGCCTCTCTATGTTTAGGTTGCATCATGCAATCTTAAAGTGAAAACTAAATCACAATCCTTACATTTTTAAAGCCTTCTTCATATATTATTATGTTTGTAGATGTTGCGTTTTTGTATCGCAAGTGTACGATATCGTAATAAGCAATATAGTGAACCTTTAAGTTCAGATATCGTTTCCACGAAAATTATACTTTATAACTTAATCTAATTTTTCTTAACTCTTATTTGATAAAAGCAAGTAAATATTTATGATGATTTGATTATTTTTCGTGGCTACTTTTAATTAATTGAAAATATATAAAAAGATTGTATATAATGGATAATTGAAGATTCAAATATGTGATGAATATTAGGGCATAATAATTTCATTTATTGATCACATCAATTCTTAATTCAAGATTCATAACATAATGTAGTGTTCGATCGAATTCTCATATTGTAATCAATTTACCAATCTCGAGTTCTCATTGAACCTATTTAACTAATTAAATTTCATATATCTATGTGAATAAACTTTAATTAAAAGAAATACTAGTTCTAAGAATTCATATTGTGACCGCAATAATTAATATATGTATCTCTACACGTTATACTAATTTACTGAATTTTATTATATGGTCTAAACTTCAAACTCCCCTATCGATTCGTTAGAGACTCACATAATCATCAAATTATTGATCAAATAATTTAATGTATTAAATTCATAATAAAACCAATACACATAAGAATAAATCACATAAATTTTGAATAGAAAAATAAAGGATCACAGATCGACTATATTATTTTTCTTAATATAAAAATTAGTTATTCATACTATAAAAATAAAAATACGCAAAAGTGGAAAGTTATCACTAAAAATTGACGAAACGTGAAATTCTCTACAGTCTCCTTTTCTTTTTCTCTTTTTTTATCACTTTCTGCATTTTTTCTTCTCTCTTTCCTTTCTACTGTTTTTTTCTTTTAACTTTTCTCCCCCTTTCTTCTCTGCCTCTCTCCTCTTTCTTCTTTT